CCATTAGAGACACTACCTCCTAGGCGGATTCTTCTACTTGAGATCTGACCATGAGACCTTGCGCTGGATCAAGACACAGCCTGCACTCTCTGACGCACTCAAACGATGGATTCAAGTGATAGACATGTATGGCTATCAACTTGATCCAATCAAGGGAGAGTACAACAACAAGTAGTTGATGCACTATCACGTTGGGCATATTACCTGGGTGCGCTAGTAACTGAATTCGGCATATCTGACGATCTAACTCAATCTTTGGTGGAAGCCTATCAACAAGATTTCGTCATGTCCGAGATCATCCGTAAGTTCAAAGAGAAGGGATAAAAGTAACTTCTGACGAATTTACGATGGTAGATGGCTTGAAGTATAAGCGAAGGAGAGGAAAAGAAGTTAAGGGGGGGGCACACGAGGTTGTCACGCGGACGCGGAGGTGCACGAGCAAGCGGTGCGCGGTCTCAAGAAGGCGCGCGAGAGAGAGAGGACGAGAGCAAGCAAGCGAGAGAGAGAGAGGGAGAGAGAGGCTGTTGCTTGAAAAGGCAGGGAATAAAAGATTGTGTTCCTAATAGTGAGTCTTTGCGTAGTTTATTTTTAGGGGAATGTCATGATGCAACTGGTTATTTTGGTTATAGAAAGACATCAGCTAACCTAGTGCAGAAGTTTTGGTGGCCCAAAATTATGCAGGATGCAAAGAAATATGTAGAGACGTCGCCAGCCTGTACAATAACGCTGTGCATAGCACTACTGGTACGTCTCCCAACCAATTACATCTCGGTTGGAAGCCCAGATCGGCACTGGACTTTCTATTACCTCAACAACTGCAAAATGTATCACCTGGCAGCCTAGAGTTCGCTGTCAAATACGAACAAATGCTGCAACAGGCTGTAGAGCACATTAAGAAAGCTTAAGATGCCATGATTGCATCTGAGAACAGGCACATAAGGCAGTCTAACTTTCAGGTAGGTAAACGAGTCTGGGTAAAATCATCTGAACTAGGTCAAGAGTTGGGGATTTCACGCAAACTAATGCCACAGTACTCTGGGCCCTGGGAGATCTTAGACATTGTAGGGGGTCAACCAGATGGACCGTCATACGTGATTCGCATTCCTGCACACTTACGTCCTTACCCAGTTTTCCATGCATCCAAGTTGGCACCTTCCGCCGTCACTGATCAGTTTCCCTCAAGGAGATCAATGCTGCCCCCAACCATGGATGGACACGTGGACATTGACGATATCTCCGAGCACAAGCTGATGCCTGTACCCAAACTTCCAGGAAGGGGTCGATCGCCAAAGCCACATATGCAATACCGAGCGCTGTTCAGACATCACATTGATCCTCAAGAAGACCGGTGGTTCACCAAAGAGGAATTGATGAAGACTGCTCCCCAAATTATCTCAAGTTACGAGAGAAAGTTGAAAGGGAAGCAGCCTGGTACATAAGAACTTATCAGAGGACTATCGAAGTAAAGGAGGAGGGAATGCGAGGATCTGGGTCCTCAGCAGGCCTAAGGGGCCCCTGTTGCATCTGCGCCCGCCCTAAGTGAAGGCGGGCCTAAAAAATCACGAGAGGCCCTCGGCTGTCAATTTCGTATTTGGGGTCCAGGCAGTTACTTCGCGTCAGTTGGTTGAAGCAAAACACAGGCCGAGCAGCAAGGAAATTCCACGGCGAGATTTGCAGCCTCATACACAGACAGTTGGAGGCCCAACTGAATGTGGCCCAGTAGCTGCAACAGAGGCGCAGCATCCTGGGGCCTACTAGAAGCTTCTGGGCCCAGGCCCAGGCCAGCCAGGCTGCGAAGGTAGGCAGGCTCTTTCCATATAGGAAAGAGCTCGCTGCCTGGAGCGTCATTCAGCACTTGCATGCTGGCGGCAGCGCTGCTGGAGCGGACACTCGTGGGCTGCTGCTGGCGCTGAGAGGCAAGGTGCTAGCGCGTGCGGTCGTGCAGGGAGCAGGGCGCTGCTGAGGGCAGCGCCATAGCCCAGCCTCCATAGCTAGATGGGCTTGGACTACAGTGAAGCGGAGGGGTGGTCTTCGGGTGTACAGAGGGAAGACGTGGGTGAAGAAGAGGGAGAGAGAGAAGGATGATGATGATGACGATGTGAGGGCACATACCTGGTATTGGCGATGGTCTGCTATGGGCGGCATCTTCAAGTACTTCATGGGCTGCTGACGTCAACAGTTGCATTGTCAATTAGTAGGCAGACTGTAGCTGTGTAGGAAGTAGGCTGGGGGCCGAGCGCCAAGTAGGGAGATAGGGCCTGGACCCTCATGTTGGTCGTGGAGAGAGCAAGCTCTCATTGACATTCGTTTTCAGTGTTACGATTCTCTATTGGTATTATATTGGTGCATTTCTGCTTTCTGGACACTGTGATACTATCTGGCCGTCAATGTGATTGTGCAGGCTGGACATTGTCATCTCGCTATTGCTCATTTTCCTTGCAGTGGATTTGAAGATAGTTCTTTTTTTTTCCTCCACCTGTTTGTGCAGGCTGGACATTGTCATCTCGCTATTGCTCATTTTCCTTGCAGTGGATTTGAAGATAGTTCTTTTTTTTTCCTCCACCTGTTTGTGCAGGCTGGACATTGTCATCTCGCTATTGCTCATTTTCCTTGCAGTGGATTTGAAGATAGTTCTTTTTTTTTCCTCCACCTGTTTGCACAACAGATAAACAAGGCCTCTATAATGTCGTTGTTGTTCTGTTTTTCGAACTTTTTTCTTTTCTTTTTGTTTCTGGCTATCAAGGTTTGACAGGGATGGTGGATTTCGATAAAACTTCGCTGTTTAATATATGCTGACAGGAAAAAACTCAACTCCTTTTTTTTGTTTTTTTTTCAAGCAACAGACAGTATTCCTAGTGGTGGTGGTATGAGCGACCACCACTACCACCCCGTCTGCAGGTTCCATCTCTTGGTGGGGAGCCACACCTGCTGGAAAGTGGGTCCAGCGTCCCTTACACGAAGAAAAAGCATACATGAACTCGGTTAAGGCCTCCCTCCATTCCTGCCTCTACCCCAGCAGACTTGCCCCTTTTTCGCTGGAAACGGGTCCAGCGTCCCACAAGCCTCTCCAACCTTCCTTACCCCCCCTCCCCCCTGCTGTAGAACTGCTGGAAACCGGGTCGAGCGTCCCATCCACCCAAGAAATCCTTGCCTCCTGCTGGAAACCGGCTCCGGCGTTCCATCTGGTGTCCCTGCCTGCTGCTGGGGATCAGGTCAAGAGAGGGTGGGTGGGGGGGGGGATATGGCCATGGGGCCCCCCTCCCTCCCGGTCCTGATGGATCTGACCCTACTAAAGCTCAAACCATTGCCAGCTCGATTGCCAGCTCGTGTTGGGGGAACATATATGGGAAGTCCGTTGCCGGTCTCAGGGGATTGCTCGGGTTGATTCCTGTCCCGTCCTTGAAGCAGATGTGATAGTCCCTTCTCACGTCTTCCCCCCTCTCCCCTTGGGGTCTCTCATCTGGGTCCGCCGTCCATTTCACCTCTGCGACCCATCCTCCTGTATCCCCTCCCAGCCATTCCCTGCAGAACTGGGTGATAGTGTCCTTTATGTCATCCTTTCTTTGGAACAGATCCAATCTTTCTTTAACCAGGCACCACATGTGCATGATTTCCAGCTGCACGTGGAGTTTTATCTGCTCCATGACCTCCTCCCCCCCTTCTATCCTGATGCCTTGCATAGTCAGTGTACATTGCCACCAGTGTACATCGCTGCCAAAACAGAAACTGATCTGATCGTTGAAATCTCTGTGTACCCCGCCCATGTGGCTGAATAGCAGACCCACTACCGTCTTCACCCGAATAGAACACCCGGTCATTATAGCTGTATTTGGTGTAACTTTCGGTCTAGAATCGGCTATAAGGACCGGGCGTTCTATTCGGTTGACGACGGTAGTTCGAATCCTGATGGAATCAGCTGAATGCAAGTCAACTCAGAATCACCCTGGGCCGGTCTGTTCAATGACGACAGCTGAAGGCCGGCACCCTTTAAGAAAATAAAATAAAGTGTGTGTGTGTGTGTGTACACCACACAATGTACACATGTATGATCCCACCAGGGTGCAAGTGTGTGATTATTGAGTTGTTAAGATTTTACTGTACACTCTAATTTTTAGTAATTTGCATATCTGACATGTACAAAGCGTGGATTAATTGCTATTTTGTGATCGATTCCCAACTTCAAATCAATTTGATACCCCTCCCTTGGCTATAGACATTGTGAAGAGTACTAAACAGTAGTAAGATACCACATGTAGCACATGGTCTGTGAGCCTCTATTGACTACAAGTATAACCCAGCAACAACTTGAAGCTCAGCAGTCTGTAACAGTAAGCAATGTCCGCACTGTTGTATGCTACTTGCCTCCGGTGAAACAAAATAAACAGGCAACAATGTCCAATTTACTATTTAGTGTTTACTTGATATAAACTTATAAAGTATTAAGAAAAAAAGAAATCTGATAAAATCTGATGCCGTTAGTTCACCAGATTACAGTATATATCGTCACAAACAGAACTGCCCGGTAAACCGTAGGCAGAGAGAGAGAAGAGGACAACAAACGAGGGGCTGTGACAAACTGTTTCGTCGGAGTTTCACCGACTCATATAGTATTATATACCCCACAATCTCTTAATCTTGACTGGAGCAACAAGGAAAGCAAGGGAAGAAAGTGAAAAAAAAGTTGAAAAAACAGAAACAGAAAAAGCAAAGTGGCCAACAGTCATAATAGTTCAAAGTTCAAACTTGAAAATAGTAAAAATACACAATAGGGCCAATACCGATGGACAAATCAATGAGAATAACCTAAATAGTTATAATAATTGAAAACATAATAATAAATACTAACGAGTCATGATCTACCAAGCACGCCTTTTTTTTTCCCCTGCTTTTTTTTCCTAGGATCCCTGCCTTTTTCTTTCTTTCCATAAATGACAGTAATTGCTCACGACCTACCAAGTACGCCTTTTTTTTTTTTCCCTCCTCCCCCTACCAAATCTCCTAATGTTGTTAGTATCATGGAAACAAGTTCAAACAACATGAAATTGTTTTTTCTTTTTTCTTTGTCCGAATCTGTCAGAGTACTGAGATTCTTCTCATCCTACCTGTGCTGACCCCTGGGCCATAGAAATTGTCTTCACCTGTGGAAAAATCAAACTGAAACGAGCGTGGCAGGGGTGAGATTTCTGGGGACTTTCCCGGGGACTTATCATCGTGTCGCCTTGAAGTTCGAGCACCACTTATCCTAACTGTACGCATGTCGGTGACAATATCGGAGGATGCATTGGACTTCCGCGAATTCCTCCTCCACACGGAATCATCAAGATCATCAACTACGCGGCCATGGCCGCTAGGTCCGCTCACAGACTCGTAGCCTCCTTCGCGAGGCAAGAGCCGTAAGTGCCTAAGCATGGCTCTTAAGCGATGGCCAGTACCATCTTGCACCAGCTTCTGAGTGATACTTGGATGAGTGTTTTGACGCACACCCATCAGCTTCGCTTTCACCGTGTGACAAGCGGGCCACAAATATACAGAACACACATTTTTGACGATATACAGAAGCACTGTGGAGGTGGCACCTGCGAGACAAGAAAGAACATGCAAATACTTGTCAGAACACAGCTTGCAATTCACAAGTGGCAAAACACCTGTGCCTCAAACAAAGGTTTGTTAACGACACTAAGTTAAAAATTATCCCATTCAATGAAAAAGGGGAAGGGTGGGTGGGGGCGGAATTACGCAGAAGAGACATCAGGATACTCACATGGTCACGCGCGCGCACACACCCACCCACACAGACACACCCACAATCACTTTTTCGTAATGTCTTCCTTAACATTCTCTTTTTCTGTGTATCTTCCTTCCGGTACTTTTCTAAGATTTTTCTGCTGGTCTAATTAAGCACCCTCAGATAGTGCCAAATAGACGGTCATTGCCTCTTTGGAGTGCCTACAACACGATTAGGGCGGCTGATCTGTTCATGATGTCTGTGTGTTCCATGGGTGATGATGGACATTCTTCGCAATGACTGCCTGGCTCAGCATATGGTGGGAACCAACAGTCTGCAGGGTTCTACTTGTGGTGTGAGTAGGATGGATTGCTTTGCTCTGTGTTGGATGTGTGGACTGCCTTGTCTGTGCTCTGCCGCTGCCTTCCTCCCAACCTGCTTGCCATATCCTTGCAGCATGTCTGGTGGTTGCTGTGCAGTTTGGTTGCTTTGACAGTGGTGATCCGTGCCTCGCTGCATTGTTGACTTGCTGCGCATCAGTGTGCCTTGCCTTTCTGCGCATTTTGCTTGTGTACTGTGTAGTCTGGCCGCTTCTGCAACACTGCCTTGTGCTTCCCTGTGCTGCTGCTTTGCTGCCCGTCCGCTTGCACTGTCCTTCCATGCAGTTTGCTTTGACACTGTGCAGTCAGGTTGCCCCGTTAGCGTTGCCTGGTGCTTAGCTGAGTCGTTGCCTCACAGGTGTTCCACTTGTGGATTCCTTCCATGCAGTTTGCTTTGACGATGTGCAGTCGAGTTGCCCCGTTAGCGTTGCCTCGTGCTTCGCCGAGTCGTTGCCTCACAGGTGTTCCACTTATGGATTGCCTGTGGGCTGCTCACTTCCAGCAGGGGTCAAAAGCTTGCACTGTCCTTCCATGCAATTTGCTTTGACGCTGTGCAGTCGGGTTGCCCCGTTAGCATTGCCTGGTGCTTCGCTGAGTCGTTGCCTCACAGGTGTTCCGCTTATGGATTGCCTGTGGGCTGTTCACTTCCAGCAGGGGTCAAAAGAGTCCATGTCCAAAGCATCAATACGGAGATTCTTCAGATTGTCGAGGGTTCAGCCTCCCGAGTGCAGGTCCGACGAAACAGTCTATCATCATAAGTTTCGTTATTATTATTATTATTATTATTATCTTGATCTTTGTTTTTTCAACTTGGGTTCTTTGTTCCTTTTCCCTTGCTGCTTTGTGCTGGTTGTCTGCCCACTCGCCTGCCCCATGTCCTACGCCCTATGTGTCTTGCAAGCCCTTGTTGTCCAATCCCTTGTTACCTCGCCACCATTCGCCTCACTGTGTTTTGCCTTAGTGGGCTTCACATCACATTCCGTGGGCTGTGATGGGCGCAAGAGGGCACTTTGCCCTCTAATGATCAATGACGGGAGCACGCACCGAAAATCGTTTCAGGGCGATGCGTCATACCTCCTCCGCTGGTTACTACACTGGCGTTGATGGCTCTAGCATCACTGCTCCCTGCTCTTGTTCTCTCCTCTTCTGTTGACCTTTGGACTTGTCTGTGGTTATAGGGAAGACGTTGTGCGATCTTGTAGCGGATCGGCCTTGCCGAACACGTCCGGGCAAATCAGCATCTCACGTGTGGCATGGGACAGACCGACGAATGGGAAGATAATGCAACATTAGGTGAGTGAATCAATGATGAGGCTGGGGGCGTGGGTGTGGGGTTGATGGCGGAGGGGGAAGTAGGTGCGGGGAAGATGGCAGAGAGGGAGATCAGTGGGCGGGGGGAATGGTGCGGGGGAAGCACCACAGGGGAAAGTACATAGGGATCGCCTCTGCTTCCCCTCTGTGGTACCTCCCCTCCACCATCGCCCCCTCCCCGCCTGCTTTTCCATCGACTGTTGCCACCTGCCTCTTCCCAATTCGTTATTGCCCTCAAACAAAAAAGGGGCAAGTACGTTTCAGTCATGATCGAGTCTCGAATGGCCAAAACAAACACGCTCCGGCAGGTCAGCCACGTGCCAAGTCTGGAAAGGCAATAAAAGAGGAGCAGCACGTTGTAATAAGCGTGGGTGTCATAACTACAGGGGCGGGCTGTGGTGTGCAGAGCGCTGGAGTTCAAAAACGGCAAAGAAAAACAACATTTGTTTTTTTGTGCATTCCAAACTTGCGATGTGATCAAAGTGACATTTAGTGTTTTTTGGGGCCTTTTCAAACTGAAAACCTGGTGTGCCACCATTGTTTCGTGGGGGGGGGGGGGGGGGGGGGGGGGGGGGGGGGCGGGGGGGGAAGGCGTCATTCCTGATGTCCTCATCATAAACCCTAAACCCTAAACCCTGGATGTGAAACCATAAGCACCATGCTAAATGCTAATCGCCAAACGCTAATCGTCGAACTAACCCTGAACTGCAAAGTTGTGAAAACCCTAAGCACAGATTCCAGTCTATGCCTCACACAGGGATTTACTGTTATATAGTATATATATGGCCTGAGTCAAAGCCTGAGTACGTGTGCTGACTCTGTTGGCTGTATTATGCGGCTGTGCCTCGGACAAGGACCTATTAGAAATAAGGGTAGGATCAGGGACAGGACGGGAAGTTAGCAGCAGGGACGTATTGGAAGTAGAGTAGTGGCCAGGGACACAAAGAGAATTTGGCCAGGACCCGGTAGGGGTTTTCCAGCCACCTGGGTAGGCCAAGAGAGAGTCTGGTAAGGCTAAAGAGGTCCTGTAGCTGTCAAAATAGATCATGGGTACTCAGGACCGTATGTAGAGGCCCTGAGGTAGACTGAAATGTTCGTTCCCGCCAAAGGGAAGGAGCTTCTGGTAGGCCCAGTGCACCAATTGAAAGGCAAGCTAAAAGTTACTGTATCTCAGCCGAAAGTTACTGTATCTCGGCCGAAAGTTACTGTAGTATATGACCCAGTGCAGGGGGCAGTTGAGTTCTTTTTGGAGGCAGTGAAGCTGCTGCTCCGACCAGAGGGAGAGTGGCCGGCAGAGCTCTTGGAGATGAAGGTGGAGATTGAGGGTAAAGGAGACGTCCTCCATGGCTATGGAGGAATAGTAGGAAGAGGTAGGAGAAACTCTATGTTATGGAGGTGAGGGTGATGGACCTGCTATGGTGTACTAGAGAGGTTGCGGGGATGGAAGGGAACCAACAAGAAGACTTACTAGGCCCATAGACTTACATCTTCATCTCCATGTTTGGGACTGCATCAGGAAGGCCCCTGAAGGCGGGCATGGACTTCTTCCAGATTAGGGACGCTTTGTGGTAGGAGAGTGCATGAGAGTGTTTGTGTCGTCCTCTTAACATCTGAGGTAGCCATACCGAGGGATGGAAGGTGAAGTGACCTAAAGGAGAGCTCATTCCAAGGCTGGCAGGAAGGGGGAGCAATGGGCCATTGATTCCGATTCATTCATTCATTGTTGTTGTTAATTATTATCATTAAAGACGTTGAAGGCCATGTTGGGGTGAGATGATGGAGGCAAGAAATGAGGGGAATGACATTGGTTGCCGATTGTCTTCTTCTTCTTCTTCTTCTCCTCCTCCTCCTCCTTCTTCTTCTCCTTCTTCTTCTCCTTCTTCTCCTTCTTCTTCTTCTTCTTCTTCTTCTTCTCCTTCTTCTTCTGCTTCTTCTCTTCTTCAATTTGCTATTATTCCTTGATTCCTTTTTATATAGGAAACTTGTATCTTTCTTTCCCTAATTCATCTTTGTTTATGCTACTCACTATAACTTCGTTGTGCTTTTATTTCATTTTCTTCGGAGTTCCCATGAATGAAGGTCATTTAGTACCCAATGCTTGGCAATCTTTTGTTGAAATGATTTATGAATTCGTTATGAACTCTTCTTGTTCTTGTTATTCTTATTCTTCTGCTTCCTCCTCCTCCTCTTCTTCTTCTCCTTCTTCTCCTTCTTCTTCACTCGTCTCGTTCTTCTTTTTTTTTAGTTGCAATGGATGGCATTGTCTCATCTTTGAGCTTTGCACTATAAGCTGACCAGGACCATAGCAATCACAAGTCAGACCTGCGACGACTTTGCTTGTTGTGGAGAGAGTATAGCCATACAATGCATACATTGCAGGTAGTTAGCCACAAAGAGCGGAAAGAAGAGGAGGACACAAAGCAGGATGCAGATAGCGATGCGTTACGTGCATACAAAGTTGTGTTTCAAGTCACCAGACGACCCTCATGTGGAGAAACCATAGTTGCGGCGCATTGAGGTGCGCGCCTCAGCGCACGTCTGGCGCACCTTGCGCACCGCACCAAGTGCGGCGCACAAAAAAAAAA